TTTTCTGTTTATGCTGCAGATTGTAACAAACAAACCTAAGTATGAGAAATTGATTAGCAAGATGAGCAAACATGCAGGCGATAGGATTAGCGGTATGCTCGTTGATTGGTGTGATGGTGTGTGTGAGAGACGGTTAATTTCACTATTACCTACGCTTAATAGTTAGGAATGGTATTCCTGTATTGGACGAGGCGGTGTTATGTCTTTAGTCTCTTGTGTCGATGGTATTTTCAAAAGCCGGATAGAAAAACATGTGTTTCGATGCATTAAGACAGCAAATGAAGAGCAACTTATTACTATTTTCATCAACCTGTGCTCCAGTAATTCCATGTTCTAATATTAATACTTCAAAAATTTGTTCACTCACATCACTCAAATCATATAATACAGTTTACCAATACAGTACTCAAGAGAAAATCATCATCATTGTTTATCTTGTTTACTTTTTTTTTTTCATAATATCAGTAGTGATGAGATATCTCATAATGCATGTCGTTTTACTTTATGATACATATATTTCTTCTGAGGCTTTCTAGCTATACACAAGACTCTGATAATCGAGAATTTTATAAGTACATATAAGTAGTTTGTATGCAAATATCATATGATTATACATTTGTAATATTTTGGAAACTTATGTATAAAATTTATATATTAAATAGACAAAACCTACAAAAAATAAAATAAAATAGAAATTAATAATAATAAATAAATAAATGTCGTATTATTACTGAATAGAATATTGTGGATAATAAAATTTCATATTGTCTTAAATATTTTAATAATATATATATAATAAAATATTCTTTTTGTATTATACCCCGTGCATCGCACGGTTATCGACGCTAGTTGAAAACATTAGGAAAGAACAGGCTCTTAAATTATGTGATGTGACCTAAATTGAGTTCGTACTTAAATTATATTTTTTTTAAGTTAGTGTATTAAGTTTGATGTGACCTAAATTTCTATATTTTTTTCTAGACATTAACAGACTTGACGTACCAAATTAAAAATTATGTTGATTATAGCATGCAAACTTTATCATATATTTGTAATTTTATTTCACAAAAATATGAAGGATTGACTCGCTAAGAGTATTAGACCGTCTTACACAAGAATTACCGTAGAAAGTTTGAAGTTTTATGCTAATTACCAAGTAAATAATCAAGAACAAAACTGACAAAGTCAACATATATAGAGTTGCCAAGTCGTCCCCTTCTCAAAATCCCCAACCAATAGTTCTATGCCACGTGTACAACCTCATTGAAACATGCCCCGATTTCTGAAGTAGGCAACGTGTCAAGACATGACCAATACAAAATTAAATTAAGACCAAACTATTTATACAGCCACATGAACACAGTACTATCTTACAACTTACATTAAGTAGGCTGTCTTAATTTGATGAGGTGTTATTTTTCTTTTGGTACAAAGAAGGAGGCTGAAGCCTAGGACCATCAAACAGTTACGTTCCGTGGGTAAGCCACTCCGACAAGGACAGCCATAATTTTGATTCTGTGCAGTAAATTATAATCCACATGACAGGCTATGTGTTGGATTGTTAGGTGTTGGCTTAGATTACACGCTCGAAGGATGACTCGAAAATGTTCGAGTTTTGCTTGTTTGATTTTGTCCTATCGAGCTTGATGACAACACGTATTTTAGACAATAAATGTCTTTCGAAACTTGGATAGGATTGAGTCGCGGTTTAATGTGAAAATCGTAATATTCTTCTCTGACTTCAGAAGATTCGACGTCAGTGTAAGTGAAATTACGATATTAAATTAGGAGTAACTCAACAATGTATTTTCCAAATAAATTATATGGAGCCATCCGATGGCTTCATAAGCAAAATCGTATTTTTCCATTAGAATGATTTGAATTTGTCAATAACTATGGATGACTCCATATGCCGAGCCATCCGATGAGTTCATAGCAAAATTGTGTTTTTCCATTAAAATGATTTGGATTGTCTAGTGAAGTAAGGTGCATTTTTATTTTTTATTTTTTTCCCATAAGGTTCCTTAAATTGAAAGTAAAAAATTATCACACATATGATTTACCTATATGTAATTTATTTAATAAAATAAGTTTTTCCTTTATGGAAAAACAAAATGGAGTATTCACACATTTCACTTTTTTCCTCTTTTATTTTATTAATACAATTTTTGAAGAAAGATTAATTATCACCACACATTTATTTATAAAATTTATTGTTGACCAACTACTAAAATCATATCACATCAAATAATACTACAAATTAATTTTGCACGAATCTTACCTTTTTCCCAAATTTTTTTCTATTCATTTATTGTTTTTTTTTTTTCAA